AGTGTAGTAGAGCCTGGTGGGATGAAGCCCAGACAAGGTCTCACTCACACCTCGTGGGCTCCTCTCTCTAGGCAATTTCAGCGTCTCACTCCCTCCTACTTCAACATGGTGTTGATTGACAAGCAGGGAATTGACCGGGAACGCTACATGGAACCTGTCACCCCCGAGGAAATCTTCACATTCATTGATGACTACCTACTGAGCAACCAGGAGCTGATCCAGCGCCGGGAGCAAAGGGACATGTGCGAGTGAACGTGAGCCAGGGCATGGATGGAGGTCAAGGGAAAAGCTCCCCTAGTCAGCTGAAGCTGGGGCCTGAGAAAAGGAGGAAATGATTCCCCAGGGCTCTAGCAACAGGACTCTGAGGTGGGTGAGATTCACCAATCCTGGGACATTCCCAGGCCCCTTTGTAGGGCTGTGTAATAGTTTCCCTAAGCAAGTCTCTGCTTTAAGTAGCACTCGAGGAGCATACGAAGCTAGGCAGGGACTGGGGGCAGGTCCCGGACAATGGGCTGTGGGGTGAAAGTCTTCTTTTCGCAACCTGGGCCTCTGCGCTGCTCTCAAAAATCTTCCAGATAAGTAAATTCTCGATTCATTCACTAACCGGCCGTGGTTTCAATGGTTCCTCTACCCTGAGGTGACAGCAGAGGGCAGCACCGTCACAACAGACAACCAGGACAAGTAAGTAAGTGTAGCTGGATTTTCCCCTACAGAGGAGTTCTATCATTGGAGGCTGTGGGAGGGAGCTTCAAGAACTTCTTGAGCTTGTCATTTGCCCTTTGAGGGGATTGAGTTACAAATGTTATGTTAACCATTGCTTCAACTAAGAGTAAGGAGAATGCGGCCATGGGAGGCCGCTTAGGAAGACGAATCAGGCCAGAGCAGAATGTTTTGTCCTGGCCCCTCCAGCTGGCTTATGGGCAACAATCTCTTCTTCCTGAGCCTGCAGTTCCATAGCAAAAGGCAGCCAGGGCTGTCCCTTCCTCAGGGAAGCCCCCGGCTCATGATCTAGGGCACCCGGAAACCATCACTCCAGGCCTCTGTAAAACTAGTAGAGAAGGGAAAAAAAAAAAAAAAAAAGACCAATTCAGCCTCACGTCTTAACTTACTCAGATCGTTTTCAAGAGGTGAGCACAGAGCAGGCGGGAGCCGTTGCTGCACGGAGTCAAGCCTTAAGAGCCAGGCCTGAAAGTAAATTTGAGGCTGGGCCATTGTGAAATGGGGCAACACTCTACGGTGTGTCCGAGAACCTTCTTGTTGACACTCAGGGAACCCCGTGTCATGGTTAAGACTCGGCAGCCTTTCTCCTTCGGCTTTGCCTGGGGGGTCCCCAGTGGAAAATGAGAGGAGGGAAGAAAGCAGGTTGAGTGGTGAGGCTAAGCTAATGCTTGAGCACTCACCATGTACCGAGGGCCATTCTAAACATTCTATCAACTGACTCGGAAATCTTCACAAGAACCTCATAAGGCAGGTCCTGTTATTAGTCCCATTTCACGGAGGAGGGAATTGAGGCATAGACAGGTTAGGCAATTCCCCTGAGATCAGACTGCTAGTAAGTGACAGAGTTGGGATTTAAGCACCCGCAGTCTGGCTCCAGCGTCCATGTTCTTAAATATTACACTGTCCTGCCTCTACTTTCTCGACTTTTCATTTAAAGACAGCTGACTGCTCCAAGCAAAGACTAGGGTTTCACCTTCTCTACATAATCCTACTCAGACACAAGACTTGGGGGTGGACCCAGGAGGAAAGAGGGAACTGGGAAGCTTTCAACCCAGGATGGGGTATAGATCAACTCTCCAAAGAAGAGGGATGGGGCATAGATCAACTCTCCAAAGAAGGATGGGGCATAGATCAATCACGAGCCCAGAACACAGGGGGAGTAGTAGTGAGTCAGAGAGAAGCTGTTCCCACTGCAGGCTTAGTGGAAAACTCATTTGTAAAATGCAAAAATAGGAAGTGAGGCAGTTGCTGAGTGGACCAAGACATGGAGCAAATGATCAAACTTGGAGCAAAAAAGTCCCCTTCTCCCTCTTCCCTCCCAGGAAATCCAGGAACTTAAAAGTCAAAAGACAAGTTATGGGCAGAAGACAAAATACAATGAGCTAATGTGGGAAATCTCTGGTCAGACAAGGTCTGTGGTTCCAAAGGCAAGGATTGCACGTTAGTCAGAATAAATGCCCTGCCTTGTCTTGATCACTTACACCTCAAGTGGCAAGCCCGGGCATGCTAGCAGGTCAAAGGCCCAAATGACAACATGAATGACAACTTGAACCGAGTCTCCACCTGGGCCTGACTCTCACATAGAAATGCTCCTCTAGCTTCGAACAATTGAGAAGCTTTTGTTTTGTTTCATTTTATTGAGTAGTCAGACAGGCAAGTCAGTCTTGCTTTCTTTAGGTAAAGTTTCACTGTAGCCTCTTTTGCCTTATGATTCAAGAAATTCTGGCTCCTAAAGTAGGGGGAGGGGGCCACAGCAGAATCAGGCTCACAGCCAGACAAGCCTCACCTCAACCTTGTACATATCTGTTTTTCTTTCTCTGCCTCCCATCTACCCCCATCCCCATCTCTGTCTCTCTCATACATACACACACACACTCATGCACAAACTATTGATTCAGTCAGCTGGTTAGGTAACCTCCGAAGCATTCTGATTATCCTACCTTGTAGACTAAACTTATTTCTTTGAGAGATTTTAGAATAAGGGAGTCATCCCTTCCTTTGACTCTTTGCCCGTAACATATAAAGCCCTTGCAGGAAGTAGCATGATACAGTACAATCAGACCTTGATTCAAATCCCCTCTGTTGTGCAACAGTGGACTTGACTTTCCTCATCTGTAAAAAGGGAAATTTTCCTACTTCATAAGGTGCTTGGAGAAATTAAGGAAATAATATATAATGTGCCTAGCATAAAGCTTCATACACAAAAGACATCTAATATATGTTAATGTCTTTTTGCACAAGAGGTCAAGAATCACTTAGGCTCTCCCTAGAAACCCAGGTTTCTTAACCCAGGGCCTTATTTCTGAGATGCGTTGCTTAGTATCTGTGTTACTTATTTCTCAAAACTAAATAATGATAGTAGGAGTGAAGGAAAAAGGCCCTACCTCCTAGAGATAGTGAAGGATCCAGAAAGAAACACAGGAGAGAACATCTTCCTTCCCCTGTGCTCATACATATACACACACAGCTCTCCTTCCAAGTGATAGGGGGCTACAAAACTAGAGGAGTTCCCTTGATACTTGAGAGAGAAAGAAAAGTGGTGTCACTTTTAAGATGGATTCTCAGGTCTCTCCCTAGATACCAAACACAAAGGTCAATAGAGCAGAGCTCAGCAGAGGCATCAGGCAGTAACGCAGGGAAAGGGAAATTTTCTTTGAATCAGTACAGTGTACGGTTAGGGAAGGGCATTTGTCACTTTGATTCTTCTCCTTCAAACCACTGAACAGCAGCAGCAGTAGGTGAGGACATCAGAGAGAAAAGCCTCAGCAGAACTAACAAATGCAAACACTTGACAAGTGAGAAAGCTTTATTGATGCACATTTCAAGGGTCGGAGAACAAAGAAGCGAGTTACAGGCCAGGATTCCAAATTATGCTTTCCATTACAATATCAATCCATACCAAACAAACCTTTTAAAAACACTCCTCCATTCAGGTCACCCATACAGTAGAAAGCACAGTAGCTGCTCTCGATCTAGGAGCCTCTTATAGGAGAAATCAGCAGACTCTACCAAAAGGGATTTCTTCTCCGGTATAGACTCCTTTCACAAACAACTTTGTTAATACACTTGCAAGGATAAAAAGGTCAGTTTGGTACAGTGAGTTTCAGAAAATGAAGCTCAGGTCACCAGACCCTTCTTAGAAAGGTCTCAACACATCACACCCACTTTACATCTAGGTCAAGTTTAGGAAACAATAGGAAAAATAGAAACTGAAGTTACCTCAAGAAGGAAGTCAGAATAACTAGGAGATTCTCTAAACACATTCTCTTAGAGTACTAACAGTGCCCAGTCTGGAGAAACACTGGGCCAGTTTATTTTTTTAAAGATTTTATTTATTTATTTGAGAGAGAGAGAGAGAGAGAAAACAAGCAGGGGGGAGGGGTAGAGGCAGAGGGAGAAGTAGGCTCCCTGCTGAGCAGGGAGCCTGATGGGGTACTCGATCCCAGGACCCCCAGATCATGACCTGAGTTGAAGGCAGCGGCTTAACCAATTGAGCCATCCAGGTGCCCCAACACTGGGCCAGTTTAGACAGTACTTGGCTATTCTGGCTGGCATAATGGTATGTAGACCATATTCTGTGTGGTAACACACCGTGGACACAAATGCTAAGAAAGATGTGGCATATGAGGGGGAAGATGTCTTTTATTGGAGAAATGAGGAGTTCTCCAAGAACAGCTGTATCTGTATAAAATGCAAAGATCCAGCACGGCCTGGGAGACATTTCACTCTCAGCCACTCTGGTCCTCTGAGACCACTGAGAAGCCATTTTGGGCATGTCCACGAGTCAGTCACTACCTAATTAAAGTGTTTTTCTAAAGCAGCTCCATTATGAGGGTCCGCTAAAGGTCTAGTGAAGGTTTCTGGAGCTGGAAGGAACTTAGGAATTTTCTTAGCATTTCAAAGAAAACCATGAGACCCAAGTATGGAAACTACTTAAGAGCAAGAAGAGTTAAAAGCCAAGTTCCAGGAATGTATCAAGGTAAAAATGGAGTTAAAAACAGAAATTGGAAAAGAAGGGGGCAGACCTACTCACCTCTCTCCCATCTTCTTAGTAACCCAACCCTGCTTCCCAGAGCCTTGGCCTCAGCCCAGGCACACCTTGAAACACAGACCTGTGGGAATGCCAAAGATAGCCAGGGCTTCCTGGGGAAGGAGGAAATGGTTTGCAAGACAGGAGATAAAAAACATGTTTTAAAGAGTTTTTAAGTTAATTAAACATCATAAAGACATAAGCATGGACTCTGGAAATATGCTAGATTATGCACAAATAAAAACATTTTGAACAGACCCTTAGTCTTGAGCCTGCTTTAAAGAGGGGAACAAGTCTGCGTCACTCTAGCATAGTAAGAATTGTAGAAATACATGTTTATACACACACATACATAACACACACACGTACACATACACACACACAAAATTATAAATCTTTGCTCTTGGTTTCTTCACTTCCTCCGACTTGCCCTGGACAGGGCTGGACCTGCAGAGAAGGACAGGGACTCATAATCCCAGCTTCTGCTTGGCCATCGAGGAACGCAGATGCAGAGTCCCTTCTGCCCAAGACCCTGGGTACTGTCGCATCTTCTGCCACAGGCTCACTTCTTCCCCAGTCGAGTCCATCCAGTCCACCACGTCCCCATTACTGATCCCTGAGGAGAAACACCAGAGGAGGCTGAACAGGGAACCCACACCTCAGCCCCCCAGGAAAGATGGGTGATACGCCAGCAGCTAAACACCTTTTTTTCTCTAGCTGTAGACTCCAGGCCTGAGGTTCGGATTGTATGTGGCCTCAGTCCTCCTGTCTTGTACATTCATCTTTTCAACAAACATTTATTGAGTGTCTACTGTGTACCGGGTACTCTTCGGGACTTGGAAGATACAGTGGTGAACAAAGCAAAAAAAAAAAAAAAAGTCCTACCTTACAGGCAGCTTATATTTGAATGGGGGAAACAGAACATCTACAAGGAAGTCAAGAATACTTCAGATAGTGAGATAAATGTCATGAAGTAAATAAACAGGGTGATCGGCAGGGCCTAGATCAGGGTCTCCTTTAGATGGAGTGGTCTGAGCGCCTCTCCAAGGAGACATCTGAGTCAAGCTCCGAAGGATGGCAAGGAGCCAGACAGAGGTTAACAATAATTGCAAAGGTTCTGAAGTTGGAATGAGCTTGGTATATTTGGGGAGCAGAGTCATTGTGCTTGGAGCACAGGGAGAAAGTAGGAGAGTGAGAGAGGGATGGATTATAAAGGAACACAGGGACCAGAATCTATAGGGGTCTGTCAGAATGGTAAGAACTTGGGATTGTCTTCCAAGTACAAGAGTAAGCCACTGAAGGGTTTTAAGCGGGGGACTGATATGAACTGGCTTACATTTGTAAAAACCTCATTCTAGACACTTTGCGTTAAGTGCTTTGTATGACTTATTAACATACAAGTAGTATTTAAGGCCGCAGGCGTGCAGAGACTGCAGAGAGCAAAAAGGATTCCAGACTAAGCCTTGAAAAACACCAATACTTAGAGTTTGGGTAGAGAATCAGAAAGCCACAAAGACAAGTGCAGAATCAGTAGAAGCTAAGTATTTGAAGAAAAAGGGAGTGATCAGCTATGCTAAATCGCATGAAAATTCTAGTAAGATGAAAACAAAAGTTTACCATGAGCAACTGCTCAGTGAAGTGGTGAGACAGAAGCCAGATCACAGTGGACTGAGGACTAAAAGAGATGTGAGGAAGTAGAGACAATTCCTTTTAAGGAATTAGAAGGGGGACGTAGGGTCAAGAAAAGGTTAATTTCTGTTTCTTAAGATTGGCAATACCCGAGTGTATCTGTTTTCACCTCCAGTAGGGAGGTAGAGGGAATGAAAGTGATCAGGAAGGAGAGAAAGGAGATTCCAGAAGTGAGGTTAAGAAGGTCAGGGTGTGATCCAGAACACTTGGAAAGAGCTTGGCCTTTGCTAAAAAGGCCCCTCTTTCATTATAACAGGATGGAAGATGGAAATTATCCATACGGCTACAGGTAGGTTTTTAGATTTTTTTTTTTTTGATGCTGAGATGATGGCATTCGTGGCAATCAGGGTCCCATTTATGTGTGCGCATTAGCAGCACATGAGCTCAGCCTCCCCTAAGGTCTGCACAGAGTAGGCACTCAGTAAACAGTGACCAAACGTTAACCGAAAAGAAAAGACGACAACGCTTGCTATAGAGAAGCTCTGAAGGAAGGGATACGGGCAGATGGGGAGGGAAAAATACACAAGAGGCCTTTAAAAGGGTCAGGACACGGGGAGAGGCTCTCACCAGTGCCAACACCCAGCCTGACCCCGCCCAGGAAGTCATTGCTGGCCAGGGGCTCCCGGTCCCACACTGTCAGTTCCAGGCACATGTGCTGTAGATCTTCCAGCCTCACACCATTGTAGACAAATGTGTGGTTGTAGTGGGGATTCAGGGTCTTCTTCATCACAGGAGTTTTACGCTTACTGGCCTTGTTCCTCATGGGAAGGAGGTATCTGGCAGAGGGTGGGGAGTGATCAACGAGCTACTCAAAGCTGGCAAATATCGACCGAAACTCCCCTGTCCCCCTACCGCAGGCCTAGCCCAGGAAGGTAAGTCGCCATGCGGATGCTAGCACACACATACACTCCCTCCTTCGAATATGCTGAAGCAGAGTTCCCACTACCCCTACTGGATCGTTCACCTGATTCAATTCCTTTAACCTGGAGAGAAAATTAATATAGTGTCATTAGTAAACTGTTATCTATACTCTACCAAACAGGGGTCTTAAATATTTGATTCCATTTCTACTGGACAAGGTCCTCTTTCAAGAAAACCAATGGTTGTAACTCCAGGCCTAGCCACACATGATTTGCTAGAGAACTTGAGTCAGCAGAGGTGGGGGGGTGATCTATCATTTGGGGAAAACTGGCGTTGCTTCAATATTGTGGGGAACAGGGTCCTGCACTCCTAAATCCGAACAGTCAGGGGACACGGCTTTTGATTCAGGATTCATTAAAAGCCAAAGTCTATAGCAAAGGAAAAGGCCAGTCTCTCTGTCTCCCACCCTCCTCTTTGGAAATCCACACTACAGCACCATCCAAACTGAGCTCAGACCAGGACAAAGGTGGAGGTTTTGTGGAGGTTTTGCTATTACCTACTTTCAGGAACAGAGTCGGTTGCGGGAGGTGGCGGGATATACAAGGATAATATCCATAGAGAAAGGTTAATTTGGGTTCCTCTCGTAGCTTCCTTGTCCTGGAACTGGTTAGTTTGGTGCTGGAGCCGGGGACTCACCCCTTGACAAAGCTGTCTGAAGTCCCTCCTGATTTGGCAGCCGTCAGATTCTTGGCTTCTTTGATCCACACCTGGAGCTCTCCCCCTTCCCCACCTTTACCTGCAAGGGAGGTCAGCCATAGCAAGTGAGCCCCTTCCCCCTTCAGATTTCACTTGACCTTTTCTACAGAGCACCTTCCATCCCTGGCTCCTGAAGGCAGCAAGCTCCATGACAATTGGACCACATCTGACTTCCACCCTCAGGACCTAACACAGTGCCTGACTCAATTAGTAAGGACAACAATAGCAATAAATGCTTTTTAGAAAACTGGCTATGTGCCTGATTCTACAGTAAGCATTTAATTGTCAAAGCAACCATATATACAGATATCTACTATTATTCCTATTTTATAGATGGGAAAGTGGAGGCTTAGAGAAGTAAAGTTGCCTGATATTTGTTGAATGATTTTTAAAAAGGGAACTCCCCTGCCTGTGTTCTTGATCCCATGCCCACTTCACAGGATTCATCAGGCATCATCAATTTCAACCACCACCTTCCATTTTTTTTTAAGATTTTATTTATTTATTTGAGAGAGAGAGAGTGAGCAAGAGAGAGAGAGCGTACAAGCCAGGGGGGAGAGGCAGAGGGAGAAGCAGACTCCCCGCTGAGCAGGGAGCCGGACGCAGGGCTCGATCCCAGGACCCTGGGACCATGACCTGAGCCGAAGGCAGACACTTAACCCGCTGAGCCACCCAGGCACACCCCTCTCTTTTGTTTAAAGATTTTATTTATTTATTTGAGAGAGAGTGTGTATGAGTGAGAGAGAGAGAGCACAAGCCAGGGAGAAGAGGCAGAGGGAGAACCCACCTCCCATTTTTAATATCTCTTCCTCTACTAGTCCTGTCTCCTCAGTTTAAATATACGCTAATCTCACCTCTTCTTTTAAAAATCCTTTAAAAAGGGGCGCCTGGGTGGCTCAGTTGGTTAAGCATCTGCCTTCGGCTTAGGTCATGATCCTGGGGTCCTGGGATCGAGCCCCACATCGGGCTCCTGCTTCTCAGGGAGTCTGCTTCTCCTTCTCCCTCTGCCCCTCCCCCTCACTTGTACTTTCTCTCTCCTTCTCTCTCAAATAAATAAAATCTTTTTTAAAAAGAAAAAAATCCTTTAAAAAGAAAATCTCCCTTTACCCTTATCTCTTTCTTTCACCATCAATTATCCTAAAAAAGAGTTCACACTCAGTACTTTTACTTCTTTGCTTCATTCGCTCGGCCTAGTTTCTGGTGAAATCTGGCTTCTGCTTCCACTAACCCACTGAAAATACAACCTAACGCCGATGAGCCATGTCTTCTCCATCCTCACCGGCCTGACATCCCAGTAGTATTTCAACACTACTGACAACCTCTGCTCTTTTCTTCTCCAAGCCCTTTCCTAATAACCCTCTGCCTCACTAGCTTTTCATCCTCTCTTCATCCTTTAAATTTAGTGTCGCTCTTCCCTACGGTTCTATCCTTGCTTCTCTTCTCTAGTCATCCCGCACACCCTTCTTGGGGGTCTTGTTCATCCCTATATCCTATGTATTCGACCCTGCTACAGGTATCTTTCTAAGAACTTTGGCTTCCCATTGCACCAATGGATCCAATTCAACTCCTTACCATTATGTTCAAAGCCCTTTTCAGTCAGGTACCCACCTTATCAACAATTCCAGCTCCACCCCCACATACACAAACCATAATTCCAGTGCCACCAAAATAAGGAGTTCAGTGAACTCCTTACACACAACCTCACGTTTACCATGCCTTTTTAAAACCTTTGCTCATGCTATGTCTTCTGGAACTGCTCCTCTCACCCCAACTTCTTCCTTTTCTGCCTGGTAAAATCTGAAGTCCAGTTTCATCCTTACTTCCTCTTTAAAGTTCTCCCCAGGGCCGCCTGGGTGGCTCAGTTGGTTAAGCGACTGCCTTCGGCTCAGGTCATGATCCCAGGGTCCTGGAATCGATCCCCGCATCGGGCTCCCTGCTCCCTCTCCCACTCTGCCTACTTGTGTTCCCTCTCTCGCTGTGTGTCTCTCTCTGTCGAATAAATAAATAAAATCTTTTAAAAAATAAATAAATAAATAAAAATAAAGTTCTCCTCAAAAGTAACCAGAGAGAATTCATCACTCCTCTTTTAGCATAGGACTGTCATCCTTGCTACACTAAGCTTCTCAAGGGACATCAAATATGTCTTATTCATTTACATATCTATCCCTAGTCACTAGCACAGTGCCCCGTATGTTCATTGACTCTTCCTCGACCTTTAACTTCCCATCCCTCACACTTCACCACCCCTTGCAACCACCCTTTCTCACCCCCAAAGTTTCTGTTCCAATCTGCCCTCTTAATAGCTTGCCATAGCTGGACCGAGACCAAGTCTGTTTAATGGCCTAAAAAAAAAAAAAAAAAAAAAGAGTCCCAACCCTAAGATATTCCCTTCTGGTTGAAAATGATACAGAAAAGGCTTACTTAGTAAAGGAATCTTCCCTAGAAGACGATCCAGGGAGCATCTCAATCTGGTTTCGCCAACAGTGCTGGCCACCAACTGCACTATCTCACAGACACCCTGTACAGAAGCCTAAGGGCTAAATCCAGCCACCCCCCCCCAAAAAAAAAACTCACTCTTTTTCCGGTCACCTCCAACAGGGAGTTTGGAGGCTGGGATGTATTTCAATGAAACCACCAACTCGCCTTTGTGTGATGGCAAGCCAGTCGGGGACTCAGCACTGATCTGAAACACAGGGAAACCCAACAGGTCAAGCGGGGCTTCTCAGGGGCTGTTGGGACCTCTCGCTGAGGAGACTCGAAAATTGACTCCAAGAACAGCTTCACGACATAAGAGAATCCTCCTTATGAATACAATCCAGGGTCCCCAGGCCATGGCAGCCATGGGTTTCTAAGACAGTTCCTTCAGAAGGGGCTGCAGAAAAACCAACAAAGATTCTTCATCATGGTATCAGTTGCCAGGGAGTCTGTGTGGCAACTTCGCTGCAAGACCTTTGAGAGTATTTGGAATCTAGTAACTGTAGTTGTCTGCAATGCCCACTAGATTCCAAATACACACACACACACACACACAGTCTTTTTCAAGAGAATGGTATGTGTTGCTTGTATGATTTTCAAAGATAAAAAGTATTTTTTTAAAGAGAGTTTGCAAAGATTTGAAAGCTAGGTGGAACTCTGTTGCAAGGATTTGAGCATGCCACAATTTCTAATTTTATATGTATTTACGTTACTTTTGATGAATGGCTGTCTCTAGCCCTAGAACCTAAATGCCAGGAGGCCAGGAGTCACCCGAGTTTTGCTCGGCCTAGTAGGCCTGACACTTAGCCAAGTACCTGGCACATAGTAGGTGTTCCACAAATATTTATGGAATGAATGTAAGAGTGAATGAATGTCTGGAATGAGCAGCAAGTGGCATATTGTCCTTGGCTGTTGGTACCAGAATTGCTTCATTCTATTGGCTCTCTGGGCATGGTTCAGTTCTTTATGCTTCGGTATCCATAACATGAGCTGGTGCAGACCAGACGTGCCCTGTCACTCGCCTGTGTTCACTGAGGCTCCTCTCACCTAGGTCCTCAGCATGGAGTATACCAATGCCAGGAAGGCATAATCCCCATTGGCTTGGAAAAATGTACCACATACCCAGATGCACAGTTTAGTGTATGGGAGAGATATAAAAGAATAGGGAGGTGGATGCCAGGAAGAGAAAGCTGAATGGGAGCAAGTGGATTGCTAGGGGGAAAAAAGAGATAGATCAGAGGCAATAAATGTAGAGTGTTTTAAGTTAAAATAGATCTGTAATGCTGGAGTGGACTTTTTGTTGTTTATAAATGTCTACACAACTGATTCATTTCCAGATTGTGAATTTCAGGAGACTCTTAAAACTGGAGTTTAGCTTTCGCAAGAAATTGGTGTATTTTTTCAGTAGCATATTTCCATTCTAGCTCAAAATAATTGCAAAGAGCAAATGTCTCCATCTTAATGCAGTTTTTTTCTTTTCTTTTGATGTAAGATGCTTTTATTGGCAGTAGGTCATAATGGTTTATGGTGACATTTCCAATATTATATCAACCATAAGCCCCTGAGAGAATGACTCGTGTGCCAAATGCTTAAGAAATTCTACATTTTTGGGGCGCCTGGGTGGCTCAGTCGGTTAAGCATCTGCCCTTGGCCCAGGTCATGATCCTGGGATCCTGGGATGGAGCCTCATCAGGCTTCCTGCTCGGTGGGGAGTCTGCTTCTCCCTCTCCCCTTACCCCTCCCCCAGCTTGTGCTCGCATGCGCGTGCTCTCTCTCAGATAAAATCTTTAAAAAAGAGAGAGATTCTACATTTCTAAAAATATGCTATAGATTGGTGATCATTGCTTTCCTGCTTTTATTAGTATTTAAAAGGGCAGATTTAACATTGTTAATATTTTTTATGGAAGGAAGTAGCTATCAAAATATTGCATGACTGACTCAACAAATTCCACCACCAGAAATTTCCCTTACGTTACATTCACATAAGGCCAAGATATATTACAGCATAGTTTTAACAGCAAAAAAGCCAACGATTTATAATATAGGCACATGAAAGAATACTATACAGCAATGAAAATGAGATAGATATGTAAGTGATGGCAGAGAAAGATGTCCACAATAATGAATTGTTACATGAAAAAAATCAAGGTATATGTACACGATGAGTTTCATACAAGCCTATTTGTATAAGAAGGAACAAATATAAATCCCTATGTGCATATTCATGCTGCTTAATATAAAATCTCTATCAAGATATCCAAGTAGTTGATAAGGGTGGTTATTTCTAGGGATTGGAATGTACTTTTCTTTTTATATACTTCTATGTCGTTGCAATTTCGAACCACGTGTACACAAATCCTCTTATTCTTAATTTTTTAAATAAGCAATACATGTAGACATGGTAAAAAAAAAGTTCAGACATTCTAAAAGGGCACACAGAAAAAACTAAATTGCTCTCTCACCTCAGTCTCTCTTCCCAGAGGCAGCCACTGCTACTGGGTTCCTGGCTATCTCTCCAAAGATAGTCTATGCACCATGTACTATTTTTGGCATTGAAAAATACTAGTGTATACATCAAAAACTAATGATATGTTGGCTAACTGAAAATAATAATAATAATAAAAAGAAAATGTTAGTGTAAAAAATTTTTACCAAGGAACCTTGCCATTGAACAGTTCAGATCATCAAGAAATCCTAACTCCCTTTTAGCAATTTCATCTTAACCAGAATGACAGTAACCTACTGAATGTCCATTAGGTACCAGGCATTGCTTGGCACTTTGTGGACAAGCCTGTGAAAGAGGAATATTGTTATGATCTCCATTTTGTGGATGAATAAACTGAGACTCACAGAAGTTAAGTGACTTGCCTAAGTTATTTTAGAACAGGGGTGACTTACCTAGCTGGCAAATAACAGAACCAGGACTCAAATCCAGGTCTGCACTCAGATCTCAGGTACTATTTTTGGAAACTGCTACCCTCTCGCCTGAGGTACCATCACCAAAGTAAAATTTGCCCTGGCTTGTGTGGCGAAGAGCACAATTAGAACTCCATGAATTGTTTTACTTCCCTTTTCTTCAGTGAAAAGATTAGCTCGGAAAAGGAGTGATTAGGAGACACCCAAGAGGTTAGCTTGGAGAAGAGGTGCAAGTTAGGATGTTAGGGTATGCCCGGCCTCTGGAAGGTTATGAGGCAAAGACTAGCACACATATGAAAGACTTTTCAAAGGAAAACCATGCTTCATCCTTTGCCTGGCCTACAAAGAGATGATAACACACTTCACGTGCAAGTGTGTCTGAAGTTACTGCCAAACTCAGAAACCCCAGCAGGGTGCCCTAGAACTCTACAGATTACATTCAAAGACGCTACCAACGTGTACCAGCAGAGGTCCCTGCAGACCGTGCTACCTCAGATCCAAACTGTGTAAGGAGTTGTTAAAGCAGACTGACTACCTTTCCGTGTAAAGGGAGGCAATGATCCAGTTTCTTATCAAGCTTCCAGGAATCCATCTGAACCTCTGCCTCTCCAAGGAAAGTGTTTCTGCCAAAACGACCATGATGCCAAACTGAGAACTGCAAAGTCCTCTGGGCCAGAAGAGATTCTGGGATCTCATACTGCGAAAGAAAAGGAGAAGCCCAAGATGATTAATTCGTGGTAATTCCTCAGAAAAGATTATTCCAAACTCTGAGCAACCATACCCAAAGTCCATAATACTGAATACCAAATTACTTTGGTCCCTAAGTACTTTGAATTTCCTTAATCAAAGCCTTCACTTACCCCATTTCACACAAATCTACCACATTCTATGGTAGGACCTGGAAAGGTAATTTTTCCTTGACTGGGTAAAAGAACAACGGAATCTTCAAGACAGACTGCCACAGAAACTTCTGATCCCAAATGACTTTTTAAAAGGAGATTTGTGGGGGCACCTGGGTGGCTCAGTCGGTGAAGCGTCTGCCTTCGGCTCAGGCCATGAACCTGGGGTCCTGGGATCGAGCCCCGCGTTGGGCTCCCTGCTCAGCAGGGAGCCTGCTTCTCCCTCGGCCCCTCCCCCCACTCACGTGCTTGTACTCTCACTCTCTCTCTCAAATAAATGAAATCTTTCAAAAAGTAAAATAAAATGAGATTTGTGGTCACATGAATCTCCAGTTTCACAACAATGCAAGAAAGCCAGATCACTTTTGTTCTCTTCTCTGGGAGGTTAGTATGTGAACAGATGTCCACAGCACATCTTCAGATACAGACATGGCCACTGAAAACCATGTCACCCCAGCCCTGCAGCAGAGGAATAGCTACAGCTTAGCACACGAGACAGAACGTGTTCTCCTTTCGGGATCTAGATACGTACTCTGAGGGTCTCATCATACAGTGGATTGGTGGTGTCCCGCTTGATGCTGGTTTTTCTTTTTCCTTGGCGGGACTTGTCAGGCAGAAGGTAAGTCTTCACGTATCTAGAAATCAAGGAGAGTACGGAGTCATTTATTGTTGTTGTTTTTTTTTTTCCTCAAGCCCATTCTTCACTTCTCTGCTCTCCATATACAGATGCCATGATGAAATGAAAATGTCACAGCAAGCCCTCTCAGGCATGTCCTTCTAGCATGTTCCCAATCCTGGTCCCTTCCCCGTATCTCCCCTAGCCGCTCTCAAATACATCTCCCTGTCTGCCCAGGGAGTGATAACGAGATGCCAGGGTCTGAGCTCCCATCTCAGAGCACCAGTCAGATTCCAGAAGCACTCACGGGTTAGAGCGCTTCTTAGCTTCATCAGCGTAGGCCAGCTGGTGGCACTCCTTCACGTGGATGACCAGAGTCTGTGTTTGCTGCTCATACTTCAGGGAAAAGGCAATCTTGCCAGTCACAAAGATGTTGCCAAAGTCGCCAGCTTCACTATAGATGCTCATCATGCTGCCAATTGTACTCTGCAGATAAAGCGCCCACAAACATCTGATAAAGGCATATCTCCCCTTCCCACACTGCTCCCATCTTCCCTCATAATAAAGCCACAGTCATTGAACAAAACAAAATCTTCAGAAGCCCCTGCAGTAAGCGAGTGGTGCCAACAGTCTTGTACCCAGAGGATGAGACAGCTAGTGGCACACTCACACCTGTTGAGGTTAATAACCAGTTCATGGCTCACCTATGCTCTTAGCTTCTCTTCTTTCCCCCTTTTTACAATGTTTAGTTTTAGTTTTCACCTGGCCCAGAAGGTAAACAAGGAGTACAGGTAAGATGAAACTATGTTTCTGGCATATGTTATATATGCTAACATGTTGGCTAGCAGGGGTCAGTAACTAATTAAAACAAAGTGCCTTAATTATCTGTGGGTTTCTTTTTTTATTTAAATCTTAGTTGACAGACAGTGCAATATTGGTGTCTGGAGTAGAATGCAGTGACTCATCACTTACATACGACACCCAGTACTCAACATGACAAGTGCCCTCTTTAATACCCATCCCCGATCTAGCCCATCCCCCATCCACCTCCCTCCATCAACCCATAGTTTGTTCTCTATCCTTAAGAGTCTCTTAGGGCTTGTTTCCCTCTCTCCTTTTTTTTTTTTCCCCCTTGCCATATGTTCATCTGTTTTGTTCCTTAAATTCCACACATGAGCGAGATCGTATGGTATTTGGTATTTGTCTTTCTCTGACTGACTTATTGGCACAATACACTCTAGCTCCATCCATGTCATCGCAAATGGCGAGGTTTCATTTTTTGATAGCTGAGTAATATTCCATTGTGTGTCTGTGTGTCTGTGTGTGTGTGTGTGTGTGTGTGTCTGTGGGTTTCTTTTATCTGCCTTATCCCTATCAGCACCTATAGAAAAAAGTGTCAGGTAGCAATCAGCTCTGTAAGCCTGCCATTCTATTCCTGTGTGGGGGTGGGAACGAACCCCAATCACCTCAGTTCCTGACTCTCTGTCCCCTAAACACTAATTTTCATACTTCTGACAGAACTAGGCCCTAATTCTTTTTTTTTTTTAAGATTTTATTTATTTATTTGACAGAGAGAGACACAGTGAGAGAGGGAACACAAGCAGGGGGAGCGGCAGGCAGAGGGAGAAGCAGGCTCCTCGCAGAGCAGGGAGACCGATGCGGGACTCGATCCCAGGACCCTGGGATCATGACCTGAGCCAAAGGCAGACGCTTAACGACTGAGCCACCCAGGCGCCCCTAGGCCCTAATTCTTAAATGTGCCTTTAACTTCATGATTCTGATTGACATTGCTGCTCCTTAATCATACCCAGGTGTCAATTAACCCTGCCAGGGTCCCTGTCAGGACAATGCTCCTGAACGTGAGATCTGGAGTGGACTCTGATGAAGAAATATTATCTTGCTCACTTCGTGGCCTGTTAACCTTTTTAGAGAAGAAGTCATGGTTTACTGTTCACAAAGCTGTGATCAAGACTGTCTCTAGCCCAAATTGCCTAATTACCTGACTAGTTCCAGGGCAGAGGTCAAGGAAAGTCACCTAGCTGTGCCCTAAGCAACTACTGTCTAAACTGAGGATACGAACAGACAAATGCAGCTCACTTACCTAGAAAGAGTGACAAGGATGATTTGCCCAGGTCCTGACTCAGCTCTAGAGAGATACTTCCTTCATTCCTGGTACCCCAACATGTCTGTAGCCACAAAACTAATAGAACTTACCATGGAGGAACCACTTCGCATGCTGCTCCTGGCTAGCTTCTGGCGATGCAGCTTCACCAGGTGGTCAATGTCTTCTTCTTCCTCCTCCTCCTCCTCCTGGAACAGTAAATATAGATTCAGAGTTAATAAAGTTAGAAAAAGTTCAAAGACGAATAAACTTCCTTGAGTGGGAGCCATAATTATCGCTCAACTCTAAAGCGTCATGCGCACATGCATGCACATTATCCTCATTTTGTGTCTCCCATTTCAGGCTTCCAAACTATATTCTAACCATCTTTTTCCAATCTCAAAAGAACAAGATAAGAATATCTCTTTCCCATTCGACTGCCCCAACCCAACCAACGCTTTATATTTTAATCAAAATAGGTATTTATTGGGGCGCCTGGGTGGCTTAGTCATTAAGCCTCTGCCTTCGGCTCAGGTCATGATCCCAGGGTCCTGGGATCAAGCCCCGCATCAGGCTCCCTGCTCTGCGGGGAGCCTGCTTCTCCCTCTCCCTCTCCCACTCCCCCCGCTTGTGCTCTCTCCCTCACTGTCTCTCTGTCAAATAAATAAAATCTTTAAAAAAAAAAAAAGTATTTATTTGAGCTCCCAACTATATACCAAGCAACGTATTAGAAGATAAAAGAGACAGTGAAGACAGTCTTTTTTTTTTTAAGTGATTCAGCAACCAGATTTACTTTAGAAATTTGGAAGAATTAAGATTCATGTTGCCTTTTCCTAAAGAATTAAACAGGTTGATTAGGAGTATCAAGTACTAAGGTCAACTCTAGATTTATAAAATTTCATATAGCGACCAATACAAGGGTACTTACCATATCTACACTGAGGCCTGGGACAGATTTGCTTCTGTCTCCCAAGGAGCCACTTTCATGTCCCACATCTTCCGGGCGAAGATCAATCACAGATTTAGTATATTCTGAATGGAAGACCAATAACCCAAATCATAAGAGACCTACTCTTTTCCATACCAAGAGCACATCCAGGGCATGCAGGACTTCAATCTCAAAGGCCATGAAGCGAAACCTACCTGAAGGCCTGAGGATTTTTCTGGTGTTCTTCTTAAATATCATTTCACCCTCATCAACAGATATCACATTTTGACCCCCAGGCGGAGTTTCCTAGGAAGGAATAAGGGCAAGGAAACGGGAAAGGATTGTAGGGTAGCTGGAAGGATGGAGTAAGGAAAAAGAGCCTTAGGAAGAATAAGGCTCAGATTTTTGCTAAACTATACAAAGTTAAAGGAAAGATTAATTTAATCTTAGGAATTTAATCCTAGGAAGTAGTACGAAACGTATTTTCTCACATGTTTCAACCAAAACCTTCAATGCTCCCAAGTGAATCTGAACTGAAATTTGTTTAGTTGAATTCTTGATGCAAACTGCTCCTGAGAAGGGAGAAAGAAAGAGAGAAAAGAGAGAGAGACCCCAACTGACCAATAACTAAACCTTACCTTTTCCACTTGAGGTGCGGGGGCAGACATCTTCTTCCATTCTGGAAAGAGGCCAGACTTATCCAGAGAGTCTCTCCTGGAGGTAGATATAGAAGTTATAACAAAATCGCCTCCTCACCTTCCCCGTCTATGGAAGCTCTATGGAAGGAGATCCACTGGCTTGGGGTCACTGTAGTAACCAAATCCAGAAGGTAATACTTCACATCTGATTTACCTTGAAGGAATGCAGACAATCAGATAAGCAACTTTGCACAAACACACTCACTCCCCCATTCCTAAGGGACATCGGGGACAGTTGCTACTGGTCCAAGAAGACTCCTCCAAGATGCAGCAGCCTGTGGAAGTTAGCATGCCCCAGAAGGCTGTGCTCGGAGCCAACAGCAGATGTACTACTGACAAGACTTGTGGTGAGATCAGAGAAAATACTTCATTTGACCTGCTGAGGACAGAAGGCAGACACACTGAAACTATAGGAGCCCTGCATCCTGAACTAGACAACAAAATGGAGACTTGGGATGGGCGGAGGTGCAGGGACTCGTAGGGGTTTCACCTTGACAGGCTATCCGAGTCAGCTGTGTAGCTATCCAGACTCTCGCTCTCAGCCTCCAGCGCATTCTTTCCGCTTTTTGGCTTGGGCACTTCAAATGGCATACTAGAATAAAAACCAAGAGGCAATTATGTAGAGGAAGTGGGCTCTCCTGCTGGGAGTCGGGCCTCCTTCCAGCCCACTCACACTGGTAGCCTGAGTGATCCTTCTAAGATAAATATCTGAGTATACTTTGAAAACTGTTCAGCAGTTCCTCATTGCTGTTGGGATTGAGTTCAAACTCCTTACCATGGCAAGAAAACCCTTAGGATTTTGCCCCCTGCTCACTTCTCCAGACTCATCTCCACCTTCCTTATACTTTACGTTTCCAGAATGATTAAGCTCTTTTGGTTCCTTGAATATGCCAAAGTTCTCCCTTTTACTCTTTTCTCTGCCTGGGATGTTCTTTTCACAATGACCATTTTCCTCACCTGGCTATATCAACTCCTTCTTCAGGACTCTCCTTCTATGTTAATTCCTCTAGATCTCTCTATGTCCCCACTCCAAGTCTGGATTAGTAACCTTCCTATATGCTCTGAAAGCACCCTCATTTCTTGATAGCAGTCATCCCATATGTAATTATTTATGTCTTTTAAACAAATTTAATTTATCCAATAATTTAAAAAAATGACCTATTTAATGACTTTCTCCTCCATTAGACTAAGTTCTGTGAGATCAGTGACCACATATTTTACTCACTGCTGTGTTCCCAGTGCCTAGAAGAGAAACTACCATACAGTGGGCACTCCTATATTTGTTGACTGAATCCCCTCAGTGGGGCTTAAAGTAGACACATAAATAAGAAGTATGTTTCAAAGACCGTATTCAGAAGACCAGAATTCTTTCTCAGCTTTATGGATGACCCTGGGCATTCAAAACAGCAGTTCTCATTGCTAAAAGGAAGGACACCATTCCTGAGCCTCAAGGAATTTGTGAGAGCAGTAAGAAAAAGGGAAAAATCATTCTTCCTCAAGAATCTCAACTAATTTCACTTGGCTGCCAGGACATGACACTCTCTGGTCCCCTGACCTTGCTGCAGCCCCCTTCTCGGGCTCCTTTGCTGGTCCTTCGTCTCCTAAACCTCCAGTCTTTGGATTGTGTCCAGGCTTATTCCTTAGGCTGCTTCTCTTCACTATCTAGAATTATCCCTAAATGATCTCATCTAGTCTCATGGCTTTAAATATCCTCTATAAACCAATAACTCCTAAATTTATCTCTCACTCAAACGCCAGGCTTGTATTTCCAACAGCCTACTTGACATTTCTGCTTGGATGTCTCAGACACAGCAAGTGCAAAACTAAGGCCCTAATCCTCCCCCAAACCTGTTCTTCTCTCAATTTCGTCAAATGCCAACTTTCTCCTTTCATTGGTCTGGTCAAAAATCTTAACAGTTTCCCTTAACTCCCCTCATTCTCTCACAATACAAACCCAATCTGTTAGCAAATACTCTTGGCTTTGTCTTCAATTATATCTAGAATCTGACCAGTTCTCAGCCCCTCCACTGCCATTACTTTGGTCCAAACCACCATCATCCAGCTACTGGTCACAATGTGGTCACAATAGCCTCCTGACTGAACTCCCTACTTCTACCCTTGTCCCTACACAATCTATCCTCAATAGAACAGCCAAAATGAGCTTTTAAAATATAAATCCAGGGGCTCCTTGGAGCCTACTTCTCCCTCTGCCTGCCACTCCCCCCGCTTGTGCTCTCTCTGACAAATAATAATAATAATAATAATAATAATAATAATAATAATAATAATAAATGAAATCTTTAAAATAAATAAATTTAAGGAATAAAATAAAATAAAATATAAATCCAGCATAGAATTACCATATGACCCAGCAATTCCACTTCTAGGTATATACCCAAGAGAACTGAAAACATGTGTTCACACAAAAACTTGTACGTGAGTGTTCAGACCAGCATTATTCACAATAGCCAACAGGTGGAAGCAGGCTAAATACTCACCAATGGATGAATGGATAAACAAAATGTGGTATATCCTATACAATGAAATATTACTGTCAATAAAAAGAAATCAAGTTCTGATCCATACTACAACATAGATGAACCTTGAAAACATTACGCGAAGTGAAAGAAGCAAGAAGTATTTTCTATGACCCCACTTGTATGAAATATCCAGAGTAGGCAAACCCACAGAGAGACAGAAAGCAGATTAGGGACTGGAGGAAATGGGGAGTGACTGCTTAAGAGGTACAGGGTTTCTTTCTGTAGTGATGGAAATGTTCTGAAGTTAGACCATGGCGATGGTTGCGCAGCATTCTCAAAGTACTAAAAGCCACTGAATGGCATGCCTTAAACTTGTGAAAATGATGAATTGTATGTTATGTGAATTTTACCTCAATTTCAAAATAGAAAAATTGTATCATGTCACTCGGAGTGAAAGACAGAGTCCTTACAAGGTGCCAACAAAGTCGTACATGATCTGCTTCTGATCCCTTCTCTGTCCTCACCTCCTACCACTTCTCCCCTTGCTCACTCAGTTCCAGAGTATTCAAACATGCCAAATACCAACTCACCTTAAGGTCTTTATATCTTCTGCTTTCTCTGCCCACAATGCTTTTCCCCCAGATACTCTCAGGATTTGCTCCTTCATTTGCTTCATGTCTTTGCTCAGGTATCACCGTATTATTAAGACTTTCCCTGACTCTCCTAAGTAAAACAGCACACATGTTTTCCTGGCACTCCCTATCCTTTTAGCCTACTTCATTTTCTCCATAGCACTTGTCAACATCTGATTTGATATATGCATTTGATTACTGTCTGTGTCTCCCCATCCCCAAATCTAAGCTCCACAAGCAAGGGACTTTCTTGTATTTACCAGTGTATCCCATGGCCTAAAACAGTGCCTGCCAAATAGTAGGCATTCACAGACATTTGTTTAAAAAATGAATGAACTAATATATGAACAAAGAGCAAAGTAACCAGAAAAAAAAAGAACAAAATAACCAGAATCTATAATGTCTTAGGCAGTAAAGAATAAACTTTCCAAGTTATCACATGATGTTTGCAATAGCTTTATGAAAACAGACAGTGGGGGGTTGAAATCCTGGGGCCTGCAAGAGTGAAACGGTGGTCATTTCTTGAGAGATATATTAGCTTTATTGTCCAAGGCAGAGCAGGGAAGTTGATTTCATTTTTACTTTTTTCCCCCTTTGCTCCAAAGAATAAGGAACCCAAAGCAGAACCATTCCTCTAGAGAGGCAGTTTAACAATAGCCCATGGAGTGTGTTTTCTGCTTGTATTTTTTCCTTAGGATGAATACATAATCCAGAGCTGATACAAATAACCCTAGGGCAAAAAGGCAATTACTGACATCTGTGCTGTAAAAAATAGACTAAGAGATGGGAGTCCTGGCCTCTACCTATCTGTATGATCTCAGGGAAATCACTTATCTTGCTTTCTTTTCTGTAAAAACAAGAGGGCTGAATTTGATTACCTCTGAGGCTTCATAATTTTATGGCAAAGATCATTTATGGCCACTTAATCTGCTTCCATGTTTAGGATAAATAAGTCTTCTGGGTCCAATGAGACAAGAGGTCCTAGATAGCCAGAAGCAGTAGTTTTCAGAAATTGCATTCTGACCGATGATGTCAGATGTGTTAATCGGATTCAGGAAATAAAAGCCATTTTTATCCTTATCCAAAAGGAAAAAGGGGCGGCCTCATCACCTAGAACAGATGAGTCACCCACCCGAAGCTGTGTGGATAAAATCACAGTACACACACACAATGAAACACCATACAGATAGCAAAAAGAATGAGATAGACCCTTGGTGCGGACACGGAAAGATGTCGATGTTATATTTTTCTAGAGCTGTTCCTTTTACACCTTGAGTTATAACTGACATAAATAAACTGCATGGGGTTAAGTGTGCAACTTGATGAGTTTTAGCATATACATACACTCATGAAACCACTACCTCAATTAAGTGAGTGAATACATCTATCACTCTCAAGGGTTTCCTCTTGCTCCTTCATAATCCATTCCTCCCTCCCTGCCTCTGTCCCTAGACAGAAAGTGCTGATCTGTGTTCTGCCACTAAAATGTGGGGTGCATTTTCTAGAATTTTATATAAATAGAATCATACAGTATGTCCTCTCTTTTGTTTGGCTTCTTTCACTCAACAGGATTATTTTGAGATTCACCCATGTTATTGCTTGTATCAATAGTTTATTCCTTTCGATTGCTGAGTAGTATTCCACTGTATAAGCCAACCACAATTTATCCCTTCATCTGTTAACAGACATTTGAGTTGTTTCCAGGTTTTGGCTATTACAAACAAAGCTGCCATGAACATTCATGTACAAGTCTTTGCATGGACATATGCTTTCGCTTCTCTTGAGTAAATACCAAGAAATGGAATGGCTGAAACGCAAGGTAGTGCACATTTAACTAAACTACTACTAAACTGGTTTTCAAAGGGGCTGCACTGTTGCACACTCCCACCAGCAGTGTACGAGAATTCCAGTTGCTCTACATCCTCACCAACAACTGGTATGGTCAGTTTTTACATTTTAGCCAGCTAGTGGGTATATGGTAGTATCTTATTATGATTTTAATTTGTATCTCCCTAATAACTAAAGATGTTGAGCATCTTTTTATGTGCTTATTTGAAATCTGTATGTTGCCTTTGGCAAAATGTCTGTGCAAATATTTTGCCAATTTTCTATGGGATTATCTATATCAATTGAGTTTTTAAAATTCTTTCTCTTTCATTTTTTACCACTAGGTATGTATGTAGTATGGTCCTTTTTTAAAAAGAGATTAAAAATTTAAGAATCCAGGGTGCCTGGGTGGCTCAGTCAGGTGGACGTCTGCCTTTGGCTCAGGTCGTGATCCTAGGGTCCTGGGATCAAGTCCTACATCGGGCTCCCTGCTCACCAGTGAGTCTGCTTCTCCCTCTCCCTCTGTGCCCTCTCTCTCTCTTACTCTCTCTCAAGTAAATAAATAATCTTTTTAAAAAATAAAAATTTAAGAATCCAATCTATATTTGTACATTTAGACAGTCTGGTAGTCCATACACCAAAACTAGTAATGCCTATTAACAATAATAGTCTGGGGCAGAAGCAGTGAGGTTACTGGGGACTCATTTTACATATTTCTGTATTGCTTTTCAACAATCATATAAAACATGATTAAGTCACTTCCCTTTGGCTGAGGGAAGGATAGGGGGGAAAAAAACACAAATAAAAAGCCAAAAAATTCACCAGCAGCAACCAAACAAGGAGTAAAGCCTCAGGTCATGAAGTTCAAAAAGTCATGGCTAAGAAAACAGAAGAAAAGATTTAGCACAGCAAAACTCTATCTGATGTAGAGATGTGCAGCTGAAGTGAGTGAGTCAGCAGTCCTGGAATGAGTCTAGGAAAACAAAAGTTCTCAAGATTTGTAGCCCCAGATACCACTGGAGGATCCCAACAGAGGTAGACACGACAGCTGGGGTATGTAATCTCTAGGGGAGCAACGGTATGAGTTAGAGGATGCATCCAGAGCTGGACTGTGAGCCTGGACATTTAAGAGAATTTCAGCAGACCCAAACCCAAGACCCCCAAGCTGGCTTTTGCCCTTCCCCTCAGGTACCAAAAAAGAAGCATATCACAGGCAATATTCTATTCTTAAAGTACAGTTGGGGGTAGGGAAGAAATAAATTGTCTCAGGTTGAGGTGAGAGGCTTGTCAAGGAGGATTCACACACTGTATCAGAACAAATAAAAGATACAGGCAGAACTTCCCAGGTTAAACATGAGTAAAATGAGAAGAAATGGTCTGGCAGATATATAAATATGCCATGAGGTGGAGAGAAATAGAATCAACTTGCAATATAGGCAGAGAACTATTCTGGAGAAGAATATAACCCTAAGAAAATAAGTAGCTTTCTTGTGAGTACTCTATACTATATAGGAACTTAATAAGAATATAGATTAGATAAAGCATAAGAGCTCAAACAGGAAAGATGATAAAACAAAATTGGGGGAAAAGGAAGACTGAGAGCAAAGAACAAATTAAAACCTAATCAAGATAATTCATTCTCTTTTTAAAAGATATTTATTTACTTACTTACTTGAGAGAGAGAAAATGGCACATGGGGTAGGGAGGAGCAGAGGCAGAGGGGGAAGGAGGGGTAAAGAATCTCAAGCACACTCTGCATTGAGCATGGAGCCCAATGTAGGGCTTGACCTCACGATCCTGAGATCATAAGCCTGAGATCATGAGCCTGAGATCATGATCTGAGCTGAAACCAAGAGTCGGACGCTTAACCGACTGAGCTACCCAGGTGTCTCAAGATAATTCGTTCTAAAAGTACATTAGATATAGCAAAAAGAAAGGGAAGAGGGGGAATAACGAAAATGTCTGAAAGTCAAAGTAATAGCATAGAGGAAAGGGTTGGGTTAATCACAGTTCATTGCTTTTACCCTTCTTTTCTCTTGCACTTGATAGTTAAAGAAAAGGACAGAAAAGGAGAATAAAGAAATAAGAAATCCGGGGCGCCCGGGTGGCTCAGTCGTTAAGCATCTGCCTTCGGCTTGGGTCATGATCCCAGGTCCTGGGATCAAGCCCCGCATCATGCTCCCCGCTCTGCGGGAAGCCTGCTTCTCCCTCTCCCACTCCCCCTGCTTGTGTTCCCTCTCTCGCTGTGTCTCTCTCTGTCAAATAAATAAATAA